TGTGCCCCCTGAGCACAGCGCCGGGCGCCCGGGTGAGAGCAAGGCTGGGGTACCCAGGGGGGCTGGGATGGGGTGATGTGGACAGGAGGGATGGGGGGAGTCCCCGCCCTGCTGACACAGGGGCAGCCCCAGTGTTCCTTGCAAACTCCCCTGTCTCCCCGCTGGGACAGCTCTGCACCCCAGCATCCCCAAATACTGCCCAGGTGCCAGCCCGGGCCGTGCTGCTCGCTGTAGGTCTATGAGGACTATGACTGCACCCTGAATCAGACCAACATCAGCGCCAACAACAACAAATTCTACATCATCCAGCTCCTTGAGCATTATGGTGCCTACAGTGTCTGGAGCCGCTGGGGTCGTGTGGTGAGTCCACCCTGGTATCACTTGTGTCCCCTCCCACGGCTGTCCCCACCCTGCCTTGGGACCCCCAAGGGTCGAGGGTGAACCTGATGGTCCTCACCCCTTGTTCCTGGTCCAAAACCAAGCAACCAACTGTCCCTGCTATAGCCCCCTGTTGGGAGGGTGTCAAGGACTCGCCCCCATACAATGAGGTCAGCCTGGCCAGGGGACATGGCACCTCATCACTGTGGTGACAGTGAACATGACACCCCATCAAGGAGTCCTGCAGTGTCTCCCTGAGCTGGAGGGACCCTCAGACCCGGTGCTAGTGGCTTGGCATGTTCCTGCTTGGTGCCCCACAGCCCTGCCATTGCAGCCCCCCTGCTCCCACGCTGCTTCCCCCAGCATGGGGCTGGTGGAGCAGGGATGCAAGGGCGGGTCCTGACCACTGCTGTCCACTGCCAGGGGGAGGTGGGCCAGTCCAAGCTCATGCCCTGTGCCTCCCTGGAAGCTGCTAAGAAGGAATTTGAGAAAAAGTTTCGAGAGAAGACCAAGAACAGCTGGGCGACGAGGGAGAACTTCATTGCCCAGCCGGGGAAGTACACGCTCATCGAAGTGCAGCCAGGGGACGGGCAGGAGGCGGAGGTTGCCCTCAGGGTGAGTGTGCCAGGCAGCCAGGATGTCACCACGGTGGGGCGGTCCTCACATCCCACCCCTGGCCCACGGCCCACTGGGCACCAGGACATC